CGAAATGGCCCCTTGCGCATCACCAATAGAGACATGGTGTCGAACAGCCGTAGAAACGTCACATCTTGCATGAGCACATGACTAGAAATTCATGCCGTGTTGTGACATCAAGGCGCAGTGGGAACATTAAGTGTCCTTCAAAAATAAACCGTAATTAATTTCTCAGGATGCACTTATGCATAGCAGTACATTTTCTACGCTCACGAGGGCTTGATCATTAATTTGATACAAGAAAACAATGAAAAAAAACCTTTGATAGATTTGATTGATTAGAGAATATTAATTTAAATACGTGCTATGCACAGTTCTCCGTGAGCTACCAGCAGCATATCTGGAACGGACTATGTCAGACGACAAATCGCTACCACACTTCATCGCCACTGATTGGCCCAGAGGTCAGCCTCTGCGAAGAGGGTGTTTTGCTATTGATCTAACTAATACAACAACACTGCTTGATGGGACCGCAAAAAGCTCAGATTGTCTTATTAGAACTTGATGTGAATGAAAAGACTGTGAATTATAGTAGCAGGTACAAGCATTCTTTCTGCAATATGAGTGGTATTTATCATTTTAAATCACATTTAAAAGTCACAAAAAGCCAAAATTCTTCGCAGCGCAGCGGGAGAGCCTTCAAGCTAAATTTGTGAGTCATTTACTTTAGTGTACTTAGTACACTCCATTCTGGGCCATTTACAAAGTACAAGGAGCCACCTGTTTAGAAGTTGCACTGCTTTTATGGCAACTAGTAAGATATGTCGAGCCATAGCACGCGCGCATAGCGCATGCATGTACAGCAAATGGCCACCCACAAATAAAAACAGTTCTAGCACTCCCGTCTCACTGTTTGCAACATGTGTCGGGTGTATACAACTTCACAGTCATTGCAGATTGAAAAATTTCAATTGTAAATATTTCACAGCAATTTCTACGGTACCATTTCATGATTAGACGCGCTGACTGGTATACTTCCTGTCATGCTAAGGAAAACGTGTGCCATTAAAATTGGTTGTCGGTCACATTCAAGTCCATTGAAGTGTTTTCCCTAGCTAATTGAGCAAAAGTGAAGAAGGCGGCAGAAAGAAACTACACCCGTTCCATGCCATAAACACCATCGGACAGGTCCCTCTTGATTTATTGATTGATATGTGGGGTTTAATGTCCCAAAACCATTATATGGTTATAAGAGACGCCATAGTGGAGGGCTCCGGAAATTTCGACCACCTGGCGTTCTTTAACGTGCACCAAAATCTGAGCACATGGGCCTATATCATTTTTGCATTCATCGAAAATGCAGCCGCGCGGCAGCTGGGATTCGATCCCGCGGCCCGCGGGCAGACAGGACCCTCTGTCAGGTACTTGTTCATAAGTTTCAGCCAACTTTTTACTACGAATTTCATTGCTCTTCAGGTTATGCCACATAAATGTAGTGTGACAATACGCTCAGTAGTAGCTGTGTTTGAAAGATACAGTAGCATTTGGGTGCTGCCGTGGGCAATTTAACCTGCCCACTTGCCCAAAAATGCGGATGGCTATCATGGCTGCGGTGGCACGCAATGCAAACACTGCATGCTGTAGTATGTGATATGCCCACCACGGCAAGAAGGACAATGGGTGAAGCGTCGTCGTATTGCCTCTCCTCATCTGAGCCAGCACACAAGAACCCTTCTATATAAGCCTTTCTCGCCACTCTCCACTAGACACGGCCCCTTTCCTCTGAGCTTCACTCTTGCCCCTCAGGTCACACGACTTGCGTGACACCTAGCTGCTACTACGACAATGATGATGACGGCAGATTAAGACAGCTTCCCTGTAAAAAATGAAAGTTCGCTTGTTTTACACAACATTTTATATAAACAAGCAAACTAAATTTAAAGGCATTTTTTTGCACAATTTATTATGTGGATCTAAAATAAGTAATCCCCAAGCTCTGCCATGGTGTTGGGCAGTATCTGATATAGAAGAGCTCAGAGTAAAACCAAGCATCAGCACTTTTTATGTATTTGCATAGTTGTTTCATTATAATAATAGGGACATTAACGGTAAAAGTTTTCCGAACAGTCTCGACAGTCTGGTGTGACAGAGTCCTTTGTTAAAGATCAATCAAATGCGAGGATGCGCATGCAGGGGCCTGAAAAGTTTTCAGACGGTGCCCCCACAGGTAATCTCCGCGCCATTGTCAGTAGTGATGTCAAGTGGGGCACGACGCACACTACTTCGAGTAAAGGCAAACAAATGCAGTGTGTGCTTTTTGGTGTGAACTGATCTTACAACATCGGTCTGTGGCACACACATAGCAGCTTGTACAGTGTAAATTCTTATGAAAGAGAACAGGAAAGCGTGAGGCCTGTGCTCTGTCGCGGATGCATACAGCACTATCAACCGACAGACAGAGGAGGCACATCCACTTTTTGTGTCATCTGTTAACAAACGAAACAAGTCATGACCATTGAACAAGCGCTGTTCAATTGTGCTCCCGCTCTGGTCTCGCAATGGGCGATGCCACCAAAAGCGAACGCCCATTCTCTATCTGTCGGCTAATGGTGCTGTAGGCCGCCACAGCAGAGCATAGGCCACACACTCGGGTGTTCCCTTTCATAAAAATTGACACTGTACATTTTGCCAACACACAACCATACATTCTAGAAAGGGGGCTCTCAGATCCTTGATCAATATAAGCGTTGAGACCCCATGGGATCGACACACTCTTGAAATTTAGCAGGGCACTACAGGAGCTGCGTGAACCATAGAGTTTCCTGAAATTAACTAGAGGGGACTCTGGCGCTGTGAATATCCAGTGACCATGGGAATGATGGGTAGTACACGAATTTTCCTTGTCTTCGTACTTGTGAGCTGCAAATTGCACTTGTGGCTTCGTTTATTGCTGTGTTTTCGTTTTGTTTCGAAGAAAAGAACAAATCCTGTTGAACATTGTGATCTGATTTGGAGTGGTAAGCCTAAATTAATAAGGTGGTGAAGTGCGACCGCTGAACATTTGCTGATTTTTTGTTTCGTGAGCAAACAGCTCCAAGCCACACGAACACACATGGAGCCAGAAGTACATAGATTACACAAATCCGCGTACTACCCATCATTCCCATGCTCGCTGTAGCACCGTGCGTTCCAGCTTCCATAGACACTAGCGCCAGAGTTCCTTCTAGTGTATATTTAGAAAACTCTATGGTGTCAACAGGGAGCATGGTGTAAAGGCTTAATCGGCATGTACTTGAGAGCGCAGCTTCATCTGCCAAATAAAACTTGGTCCATGGATGTGACCGGGGTCAAGGTCAAGCTGCACATGCTTAGTTGTCTCGGCAGTGCGACTGCTGGTGATAGCCAATGAGAAACCCAAGATTCTGGCATAGTTTGGTGCAATTTAGGTACACACACTTCGTCAGGATGGAGTGAACCCATTTTTACACACTTTGGCATAGCAGTGGGACCATTGTACAGCATATGTTATCAAAGTGGCAGGGGTAGCACTGACCCAACACTTGTCTCACAGAAGCTCCTAGCTCTCTCTACATGAATGCATAAAATGCTTAACACGTACAAACACTGGCTGTCAGCACACAGAAGTATGATGTTTTTCTGAGATTACACTCCAGCTAAAATTTTATGCATGTGTCCTGACAATAAATTACTGTAGCACTTTTCCATACAGAAGTATCTGCACACTGCAGGATAACAAAGGCATCACTTGGCCTTCCAACATATTGTGTACGAAATGAAATATGAGTGAAATAATTTAAAATGAAACAGACTGGAAATATAAAACCTGTAAAAAACATAAGAAACACTAAATGTAACACTCAAACAACCACTCATATGAGTAGCTATCGCACCTTATCGCTATGACAACACTATGGAACACTGGCACACTAAATGTAACACACAAACAATCACTGAGATCAGTAGCTATCACAATTTATCACTATAACAGTAATAGAAGTGACCTTTAACTTATAGGAGCATACCTTGCAGCGGGAAATGTACTACCTTGGGGCAGCCATAAATGTTTTCGGAGCAGAAAACAATGCTAGTTTAGAGCAGCTATTGGTGTTTTAGGAGTTCACATTAAATTTGCTATGCATTAATTGTAGTTCGGAGCAATGTCGAAGCATCTTGTAAATGAAATATTTATTAGGAAATATATGTAACAGACAACGATGTAAATTTCATGAAGCAAACAATGGCAGGTGGACAAAAATGTGTTGCCAATTGACCTGCAATTTAAAATACGAGAATTTGAGGCAGATTAAAGCAAACCAGAAAAGCTGAGTGCCACATTTTAGAAAAAACCACAGTCCGGTATAATTGTTGTCAAATAAGCAGTAGATAATCGGTAAAAAGCAGTCCTGCTCATTTTCACATTTCACCACACTAGCATGAGAGAAGAAAAAAACAACAACAGCCAAATCAGCTATATGATTTAGATGCGTTGTCACACAAATCAGATCAGAGCCAATAATGCTGCACACTAGGTGCACACTTGCATGATAGTGCACAAGTTCTCTTTAGTTTCTCGAGGACTTACACGAGTCAGTTAAACAGTAAAAGTTAGTCATTCTCACTCTCTAAGTGTCATTTCGGAGTAGGTTTGGAGCAGTAACTAGTAAATATTGCACTTTGAAGCAGCATGGAGCAGCATTTCTCTTTTGGAGCAATTGGAGCAGCACTTCCATCACTGCTATAAGTGATTCCCCTGAACTAATAATATGGCTAAACTATGAAGCTACACTCCACTGAACAAAGAACTGCATGTATCATTCAGGCATCAAAGATTTTATCACGGTGTAGCTGTACAGTCTGAATAAACAATTCATAAAAACTTATTATTAACAATGACAAGTTTTTAAGCCATATATTATAAGAAACTATATTTCTGAGGCATTTGATATCGTTTGATACACCTTTGAAGTCACCTTACTCCATAAACATGAATTCAATTATTTACCCCTTCTGTTTCCTTACAAGGAAAACAGTGACTATGTTACAGACATTTAGGCCTTGTTTTTATGATAATAAATGATGTGCCTGTTGAGGTTGCCTTTCCTCAAAAAGGCTGCATCGCAGTGGACACAGGAAAATGGACGCTCTCCGGTGTGAACGTACAAGTGTTCCTTGAGGGCGTTCCTCTGTAAGAAGGACGCACTACAGTGGGCACAGGAAAAGGAACGCTCCCCGGTGTGGGTGCGTAGGTGCTGCTTCAGACCGTCTTTCTGAGCTAATACAGCAGGACACAAGTGGCACTGGAAGGGCTCGCCTGTGTGCGTGTGAAAGTGCGCCATCATTTTCGCCATTTCCTTGGTAGCATAAGAGAACTTCCGGCAGTGATGCCATTTACCTTGTACCAGCACCAGCGAGCGGTACTCCTTCGAAGACACCATAGACGAGGAACCTGCGAAGCCACAAGCAGACAGCAAGGCAATGCAAACTGTGCTTCGCACACTGCACGCAACTGCACTAGAACACCTCACAAATAAAAAAAAGGTTGCTGCGCTTACAAGTTAGTGATAACAGTGGCTTACCCAAAGCATATGTTAGTGAAGAGTTAACAGTGACAATACATAGTTGGACCACACTATTTCTCAACTCTCAGACTAACTTCATATGTGACTCACACAATTTCTCTACTCTGAATATAAATAGTGTGATCAATACGTGAAAACACCTGCTGCAAATACAAGTGTGAGTTGAATGCAATTTTTATTCTAACTAAACTGCTGTATTTGTTCAAACTAGATATGCTACTAGTTGAAGCACCAAAAAAGTATTGGTTACACTTTGTTTTTCCATGCGTGCATCTATGTGATGTAACGAAGCAAAAGCATCTTAATATTTCAACATATGAAGCATGGAGAAAAATATGAGCTAAACAAGTGAATATGAAATCGGATGCATGATATCAGAACATAAAAACAACAATTACAATGACTAGAATGTCATCCCAGTTCTTTGAGGAAAACAACTCAGCCACACACATTTTTGTGTGTTACACAAACGATGGCTGTTACCCTTTAAGACAGTCGACATATTTTTAATTATAGGTTTTATATTCCTTGAATGAGAGGCAAACACTATATTAATGCACTAAAGTCAAGTTATTCAGCAGATAACGTTTCAGTCATGCCACTACTGTGCACAAATAGACATTACACTCGATCACAGTATTACACATAAACTTACATTCAAGTGATAGCTAAATATGAAAGCCAGATTTCGAAAGTCACAACGTTATGGCTAAATCTTCAAAGTACTCTGAATATCTTAGACTACAAAATGAGCTAATAAACCTAGGAAAGTACTAAATGCCTTCAAGACAAAGTACTCATGTCACGAGTCCACCCAGAGCACCAACAAATACGCAACAAAGAACATGAATAAAGCAAATGTGATGTAACATGCAAAGTATAAGAAAAAGAACTTGATGAAACTGGATATGGTGGAACACTTGATCGTTGTATAGAAAATGCTGCCATATATATATATATAAGAGTATTCAGGAAATGATTGTTTGCAAGTCACTGGCACTGTAAGAAAAAATAAATGAAGATAGACTGTCCACATTATTTCCGCAACTGTACTGAATAGAAAATACAAGAATACAAACATGAAGGGTTACAGCACAAAATGCATTACAATATAACAAAAGACAACTGTACTCGTCAAGATATAAAATTATTATTGACAATTTTCTACAATGCAAAGGCAATCCACCAATGCAGAGCATTGCATTAACTTTACAAAAAATCTTTCTTTCAGCTAAAGTTCGAGAAACATTAAAATTGTTAAACAGACTCCCAAAGGCAAGAGTATGCATTGCCAGCTGCATAGCCTAAATGAATGCTTCATTTTCAACACAATTTATGCGGACAATAGGACTGTAATAAAATCCTTTCTTTTATTTAAGAAAATCAGTAGACTGACTGAACGGAAAAAGAATATGTAACATCTCTTGATTTAGGATAACCATTTGACATTCAAAGGAAATAGCAGAAAAATATTATGTCACCGTGAGATTATTAGGTTAACAGTGGCATAATAGCAAACATAACAAAATGCTTTTTTGGTCATGCAGGTTCGTTTTGGAATATGTATGAGGGCTGAAGACAAGACGAAGACACAAGAGCTCGTGTGGTCGACTTCTCTTTTTGGGTCTTGTCCTTTTACACTTAAATATATCCCCATAACAGTAAAGAAACAACCGATTTGCAAAAGGCTGGTGCGAAGCATTTCTGGCACAGTTCAAACCTTGCCACTTCTATGATGCTTTGCAAATGGAGTGGACACACCTGAAACAGCATAAGGGATGCTTTTAAACCCAGCACAAACACACACGGTAGGCTCACACAACTTATAACCTTTGTGCTAACCAGACTGATAGGTAACAATGACCTTCCTTGATAGTAGAAGGATCGACCAATCAATTTTCATAAAATAATTGTACTTAGCCAATAAACATTAGCGAGGATACTGAGGATTACTGAGAATAAACATTACTGATGTGGTAATCAGTAAATATAACCACTTGTTTTTTGCAATACCTATGCAGTTGAACGTATACGTCTGTGCCATTCAGTGGCATACAGGCCGGGCTGTTCATTTTGAGGTTTTATATTTGTCTGAAGTTAAAAGCTGATGGCAATTTTCAAGCTGATAATTGCAGAGAAATCAAGTTTTTCATGCAGACATTCCACAATTCATGTTTTTTATTTGTTAAACTTTAAAATGTCCTAAAATTAAAATATTAAACTATTATTAAAATTAAAATATTATTATTATTAAATATTATAGAGATGATTGAACTCTAATAGATAATGTAACATTTCACTCGAGAAATAATGGTTTTAACTGTTTTTACCACTAATTCATATGGCCTGGTTATCACCATATGGACGTTTCATGCCAGTTGTCATGCCAAGCCAATCAAAAACAAATGGTGTATGTAAGTTGTCAGTTTCGTCACTGTTACGTGACGTGATGTTGCTTCTCATAACAAATATAACTGATGTGTGTAGCCATAGTTTGAAATCAGGGTAGCTTATTTCTTGAATTAAAACTATAACAGCTTCGATCTTGGCGTTGCCACCTGTGCAACAATATCGGCACATTCCACACCACCAGAAGAACCCATGAGAAGACTTGCTCAGATTGTGCCATAAGGGCCACTTAAATCAGCACACACAACAATGCACACTAAAAACACTCTAGCCAGAACGGTGAAGTCGTACAAATGGCGCATCGTACACGTGGCACGATGTTCAGCATGGTTAGCAAAAACATCGGCGGCTAGTGTGGAGGTTAACCAGATGATAATTGGCATTTCACCACGAGAAAAGAAAGCAGAGAACAGTTTTAATATTTTCATACAGATAGAAAGCATTGATACTTCTATGCTTAATTCAGTAGTTGTCCAAACTTTACCATAAATTTATATCGCCGCACGCTATTTCGGATTTTCTGCGCGCGGGCCGCCGACTCGCGTTACGACGCATGCGCAGTGGCAGCGACCGCACCGCAAGGGCTCACTGGGCGCTGCGAGTTGCGCGAGCTGAAGGTGCGGACGAACGAATGCGATGTAGTTTCGAAGCACGGCGAATAGTGAAGCAGATAAAGACAAGGAACGAACTAGAGTCGTACTTGCTGGTGGGTGTCCATCGAGAAAAGTGGAAAACCGTCAAATCAGGACACAGGAGGTGAAGACGTTGTTGGGTTCTCTTGCCGGCGTTTGTGCGGCTCAATCTCCTCACTTTCACTGTTCTCGGATGCAAAGACAGCGGTCTCTGTACGTAAAAGCAACGCATATAGCCTCCCTAGGGTGGCTAGAATACTAGCCTTCCTACACAGATCCCAAAAATTCATGCAGGATGCAGCGGCGGTTTGATTACCTTCAGACACCTGGTGGGCTATCCATGTCTATTCATATCCATGTCTGGTGGTGGGCTATCTTGCCCCGCCGCGGTGGTCTAGTGGCTAAGGTACTCGGCTGCTGACCCGCCGGGCGCGGGTTCGGATCCCGGCGGCGGCGGCTGCATTTCCGATGGAGGCGGAAATGTTGTAGGCCCGTGTTCTCAGATTTGGGTGCACGTTAAAGAACCCCAGGTGGTCAAAATTTCCGGAGCCCTTCACTACGGCGTCTCTCATAATCATATGGTTGTTTTGGGACGTTAAACCCCACATATCATTCAATCAATCTATCAGATGTCTGGTGGGCTACCATCTGTTTTTGGCCTCTCCATCAAAAGTCGATGCCTGACCTGCTGTAAGGCGTTAAATATAATGATAACCGGCGTATATATGTACACCTAAACTAAAATATCTCTCAAGGTCATGTACAACAGCGCTAGAAAAGCTTCGATCTTGAAAGCTGTCACACGGGAGATTCGAAAAAGAGGAAGCCGCCATCACAGCTGACACAAAAAACAAATGGCGCTTGGCCACAGAACACCTACCAGGTGCAGTTGAGAACTGAAACCAAAAACCCAATTTTCGTGTGGGTCCGAAACAGTCGATTTGCGGGCGCAACTCTACTATTTTTCCAACAATGCAGGTAGAACGTTTTTTCATGGATAATATGGGGGTTTTATTATTGCGTAAAACACAACTGGGCCATTTTTTCTACTTTTGATCAGGCTTCTCTGACATCCCCCTCCCCCCCCCCCCAAAAAACCACGGCAGCTCAAAAAATAATAATAAGCATATAAATCTGTGACCTGCTGCAGCGGTGCTTCAGTGCGAATTGCATGTTAAATCATGCAGCTCTTTTTTCTTGTTTTAAGTGAGCGAGATTTTAAGGACCAGCTTTGTCCATCCACAGTTTCATGTCGTGTGGTTACGCATCGCTCAATACAGGCTTAAAAGAATAACAACAGGGCTGAAAACCATGCAGTGCAAAATAAACTCGTGCAGCTAGATGACGGAATTGCAATGATTTATAATATCGTAAAAGACACTGCTGAAACATCTGCCGCCACCTGGCCAAGCGTGTTTCGTTGGGTACATGTGCGCGAGAGGTACATAAGCGCTGTAATGATCGTAATACCAATGTTGATTTAAGCAGTGTTCATTTTACTAGTTCACTTACAAAACGATTAAAAGGTGGAAGTCCCAAAGTACATTTGCGTCAACACATACCACTTTTAAAAGATTCTGAGAATTAGGTTGGACCGTCACTTGGCGAGTTCAAGACATAATTTACTATGTAATTCTATAAATCACCAAGGTTGGTCCTCGGTGTATCGATCAGGCGGAAAACAGTCGTAATGTTAAAGGGACACTGAAGGCAACTATATTTTAATTGAGTAGACATCGACTGTTGAAATAGTGATCCAGAAACCTCGCATTGTTACTCTTGTGCTAAGGAAGTGCTTTTGAAATGAAATCACGTTTTAGTAGTCCGCATCGGTTTAGCGCACTTCAAATTACCCGCCTCAAGCAGAATGCCTCTGTTGCCGTGCACATGATTGCCCGGCTTTACTGCGCGGCCGCCGACACTATAGTAGCAGCAGAATGAAAGCAGCGAGAGCCACACAGCAGCTAGAGTGCCTAGAATATTTCTCCTAGTGTCGTGAACGGGCCGGCCGAGGGGAAATGGTATGCGATACAGCCGCCAGGTGGCAATATCGCTCTCTGGCGCGCTGCTTTTTCGGCAAGCTGGGGAGGCAGCAAGCCGGAGCAGACGCTTTGCGTTGAAATTGCAGTGGTGGTTTCATGGCTTAGCACGCGATTGCCTTGTTATCCTGCGTTTTCCATGCAGACTGTAAATAAAGCGTGTGAATTTGAACGAAATGTATGCGAGCTCTCTGCCTTGTTGAGATTTTGTGTCCTCCTGCCGTGCCGCCTCTTCATATATTGGCCGCTCGCGCGTTACCAATGCTACTTTTTCAATTGCGGTAATTAAGGGGTGGCCAACTGGGGGCTCCCAGCGGTACGACTGTTCAACACAAAAAATCACATATTTCTCTCCTCATCCGCGACCACCATTCCCCCCCGTAGGCTGCTGTCGCGACTTTGTTGTCATGTGCAGAATCGCAGGCACTGTACAAACCCTCTTCTCGCAACTTTTTATATATACAATGTATTATGGACACTTACTTTCCCTGCACTCGGTGGCAGGCCTGGACGCACCCACGTACAAGGGTCATTATCTCTTCGATTGGCCCTTCACGCTTCGAAGTAATCAGAAAAATAAATAATGCCAAAGCAACAGTGCGCCAGACGAAACCACTGGCGAACAGGACCCCCTGCGAATGAGTTACCAGCAGTAAGGAAAAACAAACCAATACAAAATGTCAATTTACAATATCAACATTTATTGCAGAAGTCAGTGTCAAGAATTTATTTACATTTTTCACTTTGGCAGCTCCGAACTCCTAACAGATTCACAATGACAGATTTCTTAATTACAAAAGCCACTGTACCAGGAACTTATTTACATTTTTTACATGAACAGCACTGAACACCTTACTGACACCGCCGCATTTTCAAGAGCTTTTGCTTCTCTCGCTTAGAGGACAGGCTCTTATTTGTTGCTTTCGTGAAGAAGTGCAGTCTGGTGAATGCGTAAAACTTAATAATCGCTGTAGTGAGCTTATGACCGTGCTCAATGCAGCCAACTTTTTCAAGTTCATGACCCTGAAGAAAAAGCAAGAAGCTAACCAAGCTTTCGGCATGAAGCTTGTTCCGGCTGAAAAACACAATGAAAGCATTTTCAAGCTTTGTGATGAGCTTTTCAAGAGCGTCTGATGGGTAGAGCAGGCCCCGATGGTTGAACTGATTCGTCAGTGTGGCATTGCAGTTCGATTCTGCTTGCAGAGGCATAATGCAGAGACAATATGCACAATCAGGGCATGGAAATTTTTTCAGAGATTTGCGCACAACATAGCCAGCTATATAGAAAATTAGCCGGCTATCGCTCTTTTCTTCTACCATGCCATCATGGTCAAGCAGGGAGGCATGCCTTTCCAGCACTTCTTCAGCATGCGGCAGGTTTCCTTCATCCAGAAGGCTATCAACAAGGGCTGTTACACGAGCTCCCTTTTGTTCGGGCACATCAGAAGGCTCTAAAAGAGCAGTAACCAGTTAAGGAGGAGAGTTACCTTTTAGGGGGTCTGGCGAGGCTGTAAAATGCCATGTTATTAATGACGACCAAAAATTGCTCAGGGGAGGGGTGATCGTTGCTCCCAAAGGCCTGCCGGACGACACCAAACACATTTTCCATCTTGTCCTGGCTTAGGTTTGCAGTTAGCAAATATGTGTACTTCAGGTGCTAGTAACGTAGCTGAGGAGTGACAGTGTGCTCTGAATAGTCACCCGGAGCCCTAGAGCAGTACTCTCGCTTAAAAACCCCCCACCGTGCTTGGCAGCATGCTCTTCCCACTCTCGCAGAAATGGGAGAAAGTCTTCCAGAAACTTTGCACTTGCTGAACCACATCTAAGGCCTTTCAAAGGGATTCGTGCCGTCATTATAAAAATCAGTCTTTCCATCGTTTGAATAAACTTCTCCGTAGACTGTGTTATCTTAAACGTCTTAACTTGGTGGTCCTTGAAAAGAAAAATCCCTTTAAAAACTTCCTCACTAAAAAGCTGAAATGCGAGGTTTACCCTCATTTTCTCAAATGCTTTTGGCTGCACGTGTGACTCCGTGATGTGCGGCATCACTTTTAGTGTCAGTGACTTGCTGTCCTTAATCCATGCCTCTCTGACAACATCAACATGGACGTGACCATCTGGGATCTGCAGGCCTGTCGACACAAATGCATTTCGGATGCACTTGATCAGATGAGGAAAGTCTGATATGAAGTGCACGTTCCTCCCTGGCTCGACCGGATGTGGAACTTTTCAGGTGATTCCCTTGGAGGTAGCTGCACAAATAGAAAAAAAGCACCTGGTTGACTACCAGCTCATATAATTAATTGAAAAATTAAAAGTAGAGATATCACACCTTTGATTCCAAACAGCTTCCAGAGAGTCCGGTTCCAGGTTGCACCATCGCTTGTCCAATAATCAACAAATAGTCCAGCGTTTTCCGCGAGGATTGTGGCTTCCAGAAGAATTTTAAACAGGACCGAGGCTTTTACATTGCCTTTTGAGGCAAAGACGCCAAGGATCTGAGTCCATTTTCTTGCAAAGATATCGAATCCCACAATGCATGAGTAGCCCCCCAGATGAAATCAGGTCAAAGAGGCAATCGAGTAATAGTACCAAACGCAGCTGATAAATTTAAGTACTTGTAAACATTCATCCACAATACGGCTGTATTTCAAATGCACATACCTTGGAATGGCTGAAACATAACCACGAACCCGTGGTCACTGGCCTCTGTCTTATTTCTGTCATCCGTAAATGGTCCTAAGTCCACAAATCCTGTCAGCTCCCCAGATGCCTTGACGTTAATGTTCTCTGAAAGTTTGAGTTCGTCAAATACAAGTCCACCATGACGGCTAAACTCGTCCATTTCCTTGGTCTTCTCCTGTAGTGCTGAAAAGAATTTGGAGTTAAATCCAAATGCGCTCTTAAAGCCTTTCATATGCTTGTCTAAGCAAGACTTGCTTGGCAGAGCCATTATTTCGTGCCTGCGGACATGCTCGTAAAGCTGTGGACTTTTCATTCGCATAAGAATGCACTCCAATATCCACAGTTTGTCATACGACATGCCTCTGGTCGACTTCCGAGTGGCTGCCTGAAAGCAGGTTTTGACAGCAATACGCTGCTTCACTGGCAGACCACTCAACTTTTTTTCTAAAGCAGCCCTGGCAATTCGATTGTTGACTGCCCGTAGCTCTTCAATGCTCCTTTGCGCCTTAGCCAGCTTCTTCTTGGCCCGGAACAACTGCACAGACTTCCTAGAAATGCGCTGCTTGAATGTGCCTCTGCGTTTCTTCTTCAGTCTGTTCCGCTGCTTTTGAATCAGTCTCCTCAGGTACTTGCACCTCAAGCAAGCTTTCCCATCCTGCGTAGTAACCAAGCACTTGGGCGAAAAACATCCGCTTCCGAAACGGACGCACTTAGTAGGTCCGTTCGATTCGCCTGCACCACGTGAACCAGTTCACGAGGTGCTGCACCTTGCCATTCGTTTCAGCGGTGCAGCAATGACGACCGCTGAACCCTGTCATTCGTTTTGAAAGGTGCAGGATAGATGCAGCACCGGTTCATGATTTTTCTGCACCTCCTTCGCTGACGGTGCCGGCTTGGTGCAGGCGCGCGTGCAGCTGAGCAGACGACGCAGCACTTGAACGTAGGTGGCTTAGGCGCCGTACCCGCCTCTACAAATGCGGTGTGTTTTGCCAAGTTGTTTGCGCCTCATAAACTGTCCGCATGTTCGATTTGCCATCGGTCAGTGTTTGCTGAACGGTGTAAATTAAGCGAAAAGAAATAAGGCCTGCACCTTGTCGGCACATCGTCATTCGTTTCGGGTGTCGTGCTGTGCCTGCACCGCTGAACTCACGCTGCACAATTTCTGAACTTCGCGTGCACAGCCGTGAACCGGTTCCGACGGGTGCAGGTGAATCGAACGGACCTAGTGCCAGCGGCAGGCTCAATTTCGCAGCCGCAACAAAGAAGCAGATCGTCGGCCCTTTTCAGCGAAGCGAGTGCGTCAGTTTCGGTGCTGACATAGTGCTCTTCCACATTTATGCCGCGGCAGTAAGCACTGCAAAGGTACCCATCTGCAGCACCTACTTCCTTGCTTGACGAAAACACTACGTGTTTCAACACGCACACGTCACCCGGCACTGTATTGTAGTGCCATGCGAAGCACAATGCTTCTGGGTTACTGGGCAAGCAAATTTTGCTGCAAAATGCCGACGGCGGCGTTATGCTGTGAAACGGGTGCGGCGCCTGTGCTGTTTCCTCGCCAGCGGACATCGTCACAGGCCTGGGAAGTCGTGGGTTCATTCGGCGCTTTACGCTTAGCAGGCGGAGCTGTGCAGTCAGCAATATTTTTCTCTTTTCTTTTTCGAGGCACTGGTTTAGTCAGGTAAGCGGGGCCATCCGGGAAAATGGTAGGAACGGCGTCCGGCGTTAGCGATGGTCGTTCACGGTCGAATTCGACGTCCTCGCCATTGATGACATGCTTGAAAGTTCTTTCGATGGAGCGATCATTAAATTGACGAGAACACACTACACAAGTTTCGTCTAGAACTTTGTCACCTCTTTTGATGTTTCGCGCCCATTCTTGAAGATGAACAGGGTCTGCCGGAGCCCTGAACAGAGACACCTTCTCCTTGAAAGACTTGTACCCGCCTTTGCAAAAAGGCACAAAACACGTTCTTCCTTTTTTTTCAGGCATAGTCACACACAATCGCTGCACGAGAATTCACGGCACATATTCGAAACGTAGCGAGAACACGCTTCACCACACAGACAAGTCGCCACCCGACACAACGTTGAAAGGCCCGGCCGGCACGCAAACTGACGCGCCAGTTGCAAGTAGCGCCCCCTAACGCTGAATCCAAATCAATTTCCCAGTCGCCGATGGGGAAGGCGCCTGTTCATGACACTAGGAGAATATTCTAGGCACTCTACAGCAGCAGAAACAGCCCTTGAACAATTTCCTGCCATTGGCTCCGAGATGGCAGAAGTGTTTGGTTCAACTAGGCCCCATTAAATAGCACGACATGCCCAGTTTAATCAGGTGTTCAGCAGAAACTGCAAAACACTTGATAATGTTCTGTAAAGGGCTTGAGGGTTTAGGAATAGCGAGGGCGAACAGACCTTGAGCGGGTAGGAACAACTAAAAGGAGGTTATTTGATTGGTGGCTAAAGTCAAGGCACGAGTGAAAAATAAACCATTTACTGCAAAGTATTAGTCCTTAGCTTCACTATTTAAAGAAAAAAAGCGATAAATCTAGTTGTTGATTCACTAAGCATTACGGCTAGGTGACGCTAGCCGCCGCCCAATTTAAAGGGTACAGCCATACTAATCCATCCACTCAATCAGACAAAAATTAAACTTTTGCATCACGCAGTGTTTTGCATGGAGGGACGAAAAGAGTTTTCCTTCCTCCATGAGCTTTTGAATCACTCGCGCCATTTATTTTTCAGTGAACAAGACAGAAACGAACAAGCAGCATTTTATTACGTCTCTTCATGCACGGAAAGCTCTTCATTTAGTGCTGCTAGTTCGATTACCAGTGATTGATTTTAGTCAGTATACCTCACACGTCATCGGGATCAATTTGCGAATGCCCTACTGCTGCGCATGGGTTCTCGTGGATTTACCTCTATTTCTCGGTGAGTAGGCACTGCTGTTGATAATATTGTGAGAGCTTTTACGTGAGAGCTTTCACTCTCACGTAAATTTTTATCTGACGTTACTGTCCCTTATAAAATGAGTGAATACTAACCTTTATAGTTGACATTTAAAACTGATAAATATGTGACGTGAGTAATTGCTTTAGATACGCCGAATATTTTTTAAGTGTGTGTGGCACAAATGAAATTTTATAATTGTCATGAAGTGATCATTCTGTTAAAAAAATGATATTGAGATAGCTAGGTTACCTTTACAGGGGTGCATATGATTTTAAAACATGAAAACAAAATAAACCAGGGAAAGATTGCTACCTTTTCACACTACTGAAATGCCCATCGAACGAAGACTAGTGCATTCAGTTAACATAAGCATGCTAATGTGTTTATAAAAAACAAAGAGAGTTAGTTGCTTCTCAAGATTTGTTAAAACCCTCAAGCTTGTACAGTGAAGAAAAGGATAACTTTGCTAGGAAATGTGATGTGCACCATGCCATTAAATTTATAAAATGCAACCAGAAAGGTGTTGTATATACATCATTCGCCAATGTCATGTGGTCGCAGATATGTCGGACAGTCGGGACGGTGTGTAAATATTAGACTCCGTGAACACCATTCTTCTCTAAAAGGCAGGTCTAGTATCTACGTGTCCCTTCACTGTGCAGAATGCAAATGTGCACCGTGTTTTGATCAAGCTACCATACTATTTCAAAACGGGCATCCGATAGTTAGAGAGATGGCCGAAGCTTTTGTCATTGCAAGTTTAGATGATTAATGCATAAGTCACCATCTTTATCCCTGCCTGACAAGGAACCACATTTTTTGGTGTCATGGCTATGAAAAAGGCGAAGTGAAATTGCCGATTTTGTTTACATAGCTTTTGTTGTTAGAAGGAGTTGTTGCTCATGATCAGTTGTTTTCATGCATACGTATTCTCTCCAAAAAATAAACACCAGTTAAGAAAAGTTAGCACCCGTTTTGTCTTCTTCCTGTGTCCTAGTGTTCTTTTGTGCTATTTTACAATACATTTACATTTGAGCACTCGCATGCATGTACTTCATTGTCAACAGCTTACATCACATTGTCTACGTAAAAAAGTAACAGCAGATGATTGGGGATTCTATATTTATGTTGTGCTTCAAAGCCCAGCATAATAAAATGTGTGACCCGTCAAAAATCACCCGTAGCATTTCTGAAAGCAAGAGCTCTACAAT